GTTAACTGATATTAATGTTCTTACGTAGTGTTATTGTTTTGTTAACACCTATTTTACGACCAATAGCATCGACTACTACGTTTCTATCCCAAGAAGAAGATAAAAAAAAAAGAGTCAATTTTTTAAACTATATATATTTGGAGTTAATGAAATATCTTCAAAGTGGGAAGAGTTATTTTGGATTTTAATAAATCATGATGGTTGTTACTTAAGCGCAAAAATGGGAAATGGGCTATCTGTGCTGCAGGGATTGAATCTAGAATTTCAGCATTATAAATCTTTAAGGTTACAACTGAGCTATCAGTCAATATTTCTGTTTTGAATATTCACGGAATACATCAATGTCTCAAAAACATTGAATTCCAATGCAATGGAGAATGGAACACGAAATAAAAAAAAATTGTATACAGTATTGTTTGTGGATATAGAAATGTTGTATATTGATTCTTGTGGGCCTCGAGCAGCCTTTTATTTATAGAACTACGTTGAATGGAGAATTTCATATGTAAACTTAAAAGTAAATGACCTGAATTTTCCCTTTGTTCTTTAAAATTTAAAAATCATCTGTTTGCTTACTATAACTGCGGATATAATGTAAACATGATAACATTTGGTTTTACGACAAGTATTTGCTTTCATGTTTGTGTTTTTTGTGAGCTGTTCCTGATAAGAGTAAAACAAACAGCTGTTTATTGAGAGTCGGAATATTTTGTTGATTCATTTTCAGGGTTACCACTTATCCTGATCATTGCCTGGGCAGCCAGTGTCAGTGGGGCTTTGGACACTCCCTGTTGGGAAGGTTATGGCGAGTCGTCGTATATTTGGTTAATAACCGCTCCAATGTTGCTAGCCTTGGCAGTGAGTTGGAATATTTCTTTGTTAATAACGCTTCAATGATGCTGACCTTGACAGTAAGTTGAAATTTTTATTTGTTAATAACCGCTTCAATGATGCTGACCTTGAGACGTAAGTTGAAATTTTTATTTGTTAATAACCGCTCCAATGATGTTGGCCTTGACAGTAAGTTGAAATATTTATTTGTTAATAACCGCTCCAATGATGCTGACCTTGGCAGTTAGTTGAAATATTTATTTGTTAATAACCGCTCCAATGATGCTGGCCTTGGCAGTAAGTTGGAATAT